CTCGGGACGAAAAACCGGTCCCGGGGAAGTGGTCCGGTCTTCCGGGGTCCACGCCCCTCAAAAATTGGAGCAGCCAGATGTCTGGGTTCTGTGCCGCGCGTGAGACTTACAGCGTGTGCAGGTGCCGCTGACACGTCGGTTCGGCTCGGCTCGCGTACTCCGTTCGGAGGGTCTGGTATATCCGTCGGGGTCGGCCAAGAGGGGGGTGATGACTAGGGGGTGGTGGATATCATGGCGTGGGCCATGATATTTTCCCAGATTTCATGGCGCCTCTTCTTATTTCAGTACGTCCTCTGGCCCTCCCCTGTGCTGCGCACATGCCGCCGGCCATGATTTGCGCCCCCCCCCTCTTGGACACCCCCCTCTTGGCCGCCCCCGAATCCGCGATTCTGACACTGAGTGCGCTCATCACTTGTCCAGTGCTCCCTGTACTGCATCGCGTGCAGTGCGTCCAGCGCGTCCGCACCCCCACGCCTGCACCCCCACCTCCGTCTCCCACCTCCTCCGAGACCTTCACCTCATGCCGTCACATGCTATCGCTCCGACGCATTTCTCCCCCTCCTCGCCCCTGAAGTGTTCTTCACCCCATGGTGTGACTCCTCTTCCTTTCTCCCCCTCGTTCTCTTGCCCCTCCCCCCTCCGCTTCCCCCTCCATCTCTCTCCCTCTTCGCGCTTCATTCTCTTCCCTGCCTCTCCCCTTTTCCCCCTCCCCTAGTCGACCTCCTCCTCCTCCTCCTCGTCCTCCTCCTCCTCCTTCTCCTCCTCCTCCTCCTCCTCCTAGTACTTTTCCTGTTTCCTCCTTCCTCTTCCAGGCGACTGCCTCATCCTGTCCTTTCCTCTTTTCCTCCCTCCCCCAGTCGTATTCCTCTTTCTCCTCCTCCCCCTCCGCCTCCTCCTACCCCAGCTTCTTCCCTGATTACAGGCCTCTGCCCACTCCCAACCCTCCCCCTCCATCTTGCAGGCGTCTTCCCCCTACCCCGTGCTATTCCAGGCTCCTGCCCCGCCCCAGCCCTCATCCCCTCGTTCTTCCAGGCGTCTTCCTCCTCCCTTACCTCCTCCTGCCTCGTCCCCTTCAGGCCCCGGCCCGCTCCCTGCCCGTCCTCTCCCCCTCCTCCAGGCGTCTCCCTCCTCCTTCCCTTTTCCCCCTCCTGCATCCCGCCCTTCTCCCCCCCCCGTTCGCAGGCGTCTTCCAGGCGGCGGAATGGGAGGAGAAGGAGGAGGAGGAGGAGGAGGAGGAGGAGGAGGACAGGAGAGGAGGAAGCGTTCTTCTTCTCCTCTTCTCCTCCTCCTCCTCATCCTCCTCTCATGTTCCTTTTTCTACCTCCCCTCCAGGCGTCTTCCAGCAGTGGTTCAACCTGGACACCCGCACCGACCCCCGTGCCCCAGCGGGGGACCCGCAGCAGCTGGTCAGCATGTTCGAGCAGGCTGGCGCCTACGCCTGCACGGGCCGCTCGGGCCAGACCGCCCGTCTCCCCGCTCTCTCGTCGCCCTCCTTGCTCTGCCCTCCCTCCCTCCCTCGTCCCTCCCTCCTCCCTCCTCCTTTGCCCTCCCTCCCTCTCTGCCTCGTATTCTTCTGCCCTCCTCCTTCTGCCCTCCTCCCTTCCTCCCTCCCTCCTCCCTCCTCCTTCCTCCTTCCTCATCCTTCCTCCTCCTTCCTCCTCCTTCCTCCTCCCTCCTCCCCGCGCTCTCTTGTCGGCCTCCTTCTGCCCTGCCTCTCTCCATCCCTCCCTCCTCCCTCCTCCTCCGTCCTCCTCCTCCGTCCTCCTCTTCCTCCTCCTCCTCCTCCTCTTCCCTTTTCCTCCCCCTCCTCCCTTTTCCTTCTCCTCGTCCCTCCTTCCCCCTCGAGGATGGGCGATGATGATGATGATGATGATGATGATGATGATGATGCTGATGATGCTGATGTTTCTTATGATGATGATGATAACGAGGATGCTGAGGATGATGATTACGATGATGGTGGTGGTGGTGGTGGTGATGATGATGATGATGATGATGTGTATTCTGATCATGATGATGCTGATGCTGATGATGATGATGATGAGTATGATGATGATGTTGCTGCAGCTGATGATGACGATGATGCTGGATCCGATTGTGGTGGTGGTGCCGATAATGATGATGATGATGATGATGATGATGATGATGATGATGATGATGATGATGATGATGATGATGATGATGATGTTGATGATGATGATGATGATGATGATGACGATGATGATGATGCTGATGATGATGATGATGATGATGCTGATGATGATGATGATGATGATGATGATGAGGAGGAGGAGGAGGAGGAGGAGGCTGATGATGATGATGTTGATGATGATGATGCTGCTGATGCTGATGATGCTGATGATGATCACGACGGCAATGACGATGCTGATGATGACGATATAGATGCTGATGCTGGTGTTGATGCTGATGATAATGATGAAGTTGATGTTGATGATGATGATGCTTATGCTGCTGCTGCTGATGATGATGCTGCAGATGTTGATGCTGATACTGATGATGATGCTGATGATGATAAGTATGGTGACGGTGATGACGGTTCTGATGATGATGGTGATGGTGATGGTGGGTGATGCTGCTGCTGATGATGCAGATAATAATGATGACGATGACGATGATGCTGATGACGATGATGAGTATGGTGATGATGCTGATGATGATGATGATTTTGAGGATGATGATGATGATGATGATGATGATGATGATGATGATGATGATGATGATGATGATGATGATGATGATGATGATGATGATGCCGGTGATGATGCTGATGATGCTGATGATGATCAGTACATTGTTGATAATGATGCTGATGCTGATGATGATGCTGATGCTGCTGCCTGCTGATGCTGCTGCCTGCTGATGCTGCTGCCTGCTGCTGCTGCTGATGCTGCTGCTGATGATGCTGATCATGCTGATGCTGCTGCTGATGGCGATGCTGGTGGTGATGGTGGTGATGATGGTACCGATGATGACGATGATGATGATGACGACGATGATGCTGATGCTGCTGCTGATGATGATGCTGCTACTCCTGCTGCTGATGATGATGCTGTTGATGATGATGCATGATAATGATGATCATGCTGATGATGCTGATGATGCTGAGTATGCTGCTCCTGCTCCTGCTGCTGCTGTTGATGATGCTGATGACGATGAGGACGACGAAGACGAACGCGAAGGCGATGACGACGTCGAAGACGACGAGGAGGCTGATGATAACGACAATGATGATGATGCTGGTGATGATGATGGTGACGCCGATGATGATGGCGTTGTTGACGATGATTCTGATGATGATGATTCTGATTATGATGCTGATGCTGATGATGCTAATGCTGCTGATGATGATGATGAGTCTGATGACGATGATGCTGCTGATGCTGATTTTGAGGATGCTGCTGCTGATGCTGTGGTGACGATGGTGATGCTGATGATGCTGATGATGCTGATGCTGACGATGTTGATGTGGTGGTGATGATGATTGTTATGCTCATGAGTGTGATGTTGACGATGGTGATGTTGATGATGATGAAGATGTTGATGATGATGCTGATGCTGATGCTAATGGTGATGATCATCATGCTGTTGATGATGCTGACGCTGATGATGCTGCTGATGATGCTGATGATGATGAGGATGCTGCTGATGATGGTGATGATGCTGCTGATGATGATGATAATGACGGTGGTGGTGGTTGTGGTGGTTATGGTGGTTGATGGTGATTGCGATGACGGTGACGATGGCAATGACGATGATGATGGTGACGATGATACTGTCGCCGCTGCTGCTGCTGCTGATGATGCATATGCTGCTGTTAGCGATGATGACAATACTAATGACGATGACGATTATGACGATGGCAATGATCATGTATATGATCATGCCGCAGGGGATGACGACGGTGATCACATCTTGATGATGCTGACGGTGATGTTAATGATGATCAACCTGAAGGTGGGGCCTGCTGACGAGGAGGAGGAGGAGGAGGAGGAGGAGGAGGAGGAGGAGGAGGAGGAGGATGTGGAAAAGGAGGAGGAGGAGGAGGAGGAGGAGGAGGAAGAGGAGGAGGAGAAGGACGCTGACAAGGAGGAGGAGGAGAGGAGGAGGAGGAGAAGGAGGAGGGAGGAGGCAGGAGGGAGGAGGAAGGAGGGAGGAGGGAGGAGGGAGGAGGGAGGAAGGAGGAGGGAGGAGGGAGGAGGGAGGAGCGAGGAGGGAGGGAGGACGACTGGAGGAAGCAGGCAGGAGGAATGAGGAACGAGGGTGGAGGGATGAGGGTGGTTGAGGGAGGGAGGAGGGAGGGAGGGAGGGAGGGAGGAGGATGAGGATCGGACGCCCATAAGCCGCCGCGGCCGCTCCGCGGCCCCGTATAACTCTCGGCCGCGCCGCCTCTACTGCCTGGCGCCCTCACACTCCTTCCGAAGCCGTGCGAGTAAGCCACTCTCGGGGTCCTTGTGCAAGCGCCAGGCCTGCTCGAACTTCCCACTGCGCGCGGTGTTGTGCTGAAGCAGTTCGTGCTCAGCCTCCTGCGCATCACGTTGAGTCTGCTCCTTCCTCGCCCGCCTGCGCGCCGACTTGTTCATGAGCGCCTTGGCGGACTCGGGGCGGCCAGACTCCGTGCCTCGTCCTGCAGGCTCCGCGTCCTGCAGGCGCCCATCCTGAGGGCGTATCAAGTCTGCGTGGAGCGACCTGATCTCCACGATCGGCTCCGCCGTAGCCCACTTGAGGGCTTCTCGGTCCGCCTGCACGCCCATCTCATCTCGCCCAGGTAGTCGACGAGCCCATCAACCTCGCATGTGTCCAGCTCGCCGCCAGACGCCTCGGGCGTGTCGAAGTCCTTCTGGTCGGACTCAGTGCTGTACTCCTTGCCCTCATAGACGCCAGGGTCAGTGTATGGTAGCTGCACAGTGCCGCCGAACACGCCCGCGGAGTCTTGCACGAGTCTCTCGACCTCCACGTCCACGTGCACGTCTGCCGCCGCGGCGCCCATGGTCTCGGCTCCCGCGCTGCCCCTGCCTCCCTTTGACGAGGGCGCGGCTCCCCAGGCGGCGTGCCCGGCGCCCTGGCGGCGCGCCCGCCGAACGCCACCGCGGCGGCGCCGTGCGTGCGCCCCGCGGCGGCGCCGCGGAGCCGCCGCCTCGGCCTGGCCGCGGCGTCCGTGCGGCAGTACCCGAGCTCGGACCCCGAGGGGCTGCCCGAGCAGGCGCCTCCTCGTCCGCCTCCTTCCAACCTCCTCCTCCTCCTCCACCTCCTCCACCTCCTCCTCCTCCTCCTCCTCCTCCTGGCTCAAGTCCTGATCACACCGCTGGAGGTGCAGGACGACAGCATTGCCGTCCAGGGAGGCCCTGGGCGCTGGGGCTCGAGCAGGCCCCCCGCGGCCTTTCCGGCACCACGATCACGAAGTCTGCTTTCGCTCCCTTGTGCGCGCCCGCGAGGCGCAGGGATCACAACTCGCGATGGCCAAGCAGCAGAAGCTCATCACGTGCAATCGCTGCGGCTGTAAAGGCTGGGCTTGGTGTTCTACTGGTGCTAAGCGTGGTGCTCAATGCGGCGGCCGTTTCAAGCAGCAGCAGTATGACCAGTTTAGAGGCACCCGTAGCAGTGCCGCCAGCAACCTCGGTGCCGCGGGCGAGGCAGGACAAGGTCTCCAGCCTCCGCCTGAGCCGCACCGTGACAAGCCTGGCCGCTGGCGTGGACGTGACCGCTCTCGGGGGCCCAGTCACCTGCCAGGTCTCCGACGGCCAGGCGCAGTCTCGTTCGCAGAAGGAGATGAACTGCAGCCACAAGCAGAATATCCAGTGGCTTTGGCGCAGGCGCAGGTCACATTCTGGAAGACATGGAAGCCCAACCAACGGTGAGGAGCGCACCGCAGCGCTGGGCAAGCTCAAGCAGGCCAAGGCATCAATCTTGGTTTCGAAGTCGTTGGACCAGCAGGCCCAATCTCTCTCGGACCAGTTGGAGACCCAAGGAGGCCACCAAGGACGAGGACTTATTATCGACCTTGCAGGGGGTTCTCGCGGCGCGCATGCCGCCTGGCAGCAGGGCGCCGCCCGACCTCTGCTCGAGGGTGGCCGAGCTCGCGACCTACTTCGACGACCTCGCGACTCGGCGCGTGCAGTCCCAGGAGGCTGCGCCGAGGCCATGGGTGGACAACGGCTTCCCGAGCGCCAGCGAGGCTCCTGAGAGGTCGCCCGCTGCCGCAGGCGACGCCGCCAGCGGCGGCGCGCCGTCGACGCAGCCCACCGGCGCCGCCGCGCCGGCGGGCGCTGCGGCCACAGGCGAGAACGTGCCGTGCCCGAACGACGCGGAGCTCGACGCGGGGGCAGACGAGATGGACCAGACCAAGTCCTTGGTGCGCGCGGCGTCGGCCCTCCAGGCCGTTGCCAGCGGCGTGGCCGAGATCCAGGGCCAGGAGGGCCCTGGGGCCGAGCGGGCCAAGGCGGCAGCAGCAGCAGTGGCAGCAGCAGCAGTGGCAACAGCAACGGGGGCAACTGAGCATCAGGGTCTTCGCCGCCGTCTTCACCGCCGTCTCCTTGACAGCGTCTACACGTTCGCCGCGATCAACGGATCGTGCTGGGGAGCAGTGAAAGGCTTAGTAGAGTCCAGCACTGCGCGCAATTTAATTTTCATCTGCCAGGAGTGCAGGCTTGAAGCAGGGTGCAGTATAATTCGTCAGAAACAATGGTGCTTCGCACGAGGCTGGCTTGCTCGCATGTCGCCTGCCGCCCGCAACCCCTCGGGTGAGCTTGTCTCGGGGGTGGTGGTTTTAGTTCGGGATGGCTGGGGCCTAGGGGCTGAGGCCGCTGCAATTTCCTCGAGGGGCTGACAGCTTCAGACTCGCCGGAGTTGTCGTCGAAGCGCCAGGGGTCCCAGCTTTCGCTCTGGTGAGCGCTTATTTTTAGGCATCCTCGGGTCTCAATGAGACCTAATAAAATCTGCCGGCCGCCGTCGGCCAGACCCAAGATCTAGCAGGCAAGCCTTTCACTGTTGCAGGTGATTTCCATTACAGCCACAGTCTTCAGGAGGGCGCGGATTTCCCCACGCGTGCCGCGATGGGGGCAGCGGCGCCCGAAGCCGCCACCTACCGCAGTAAGAAGACGAAATCGACTTTCGATTTCTTTATCCACAGCAAGGCCCTGGGGCCCTGGCTGGGGCCTCCCTGTGCCTTGACCTCCTACCCCTTGGCCCCCCCCCACCGCCCTGTTACCGTGGCCCTGCGTGCGCAGGACAAGTTCAAGATGCCGACGCTCCTCGGGCCAGAGAAGCTCCCCGCCAGGGCGCCCGTTGGACCCCAGCTCCCATCGGTCAGTTGGCATCAGACAGCTGCAGTGATAGAGTATGCTATCCAACTTCTCGGAGATGCCTCGCAGCCCCTCCCCGACCAGCAGCGCTCCACCATCCTGGACCACGTGTACTTCACCCTCGTCCAGGACCTTGAGCACGCGCTCGGTGTGGAAACGGGCGCCCCCTCAGACCCAGCAAGACTCCCAGGGCTCACCCCCTCCCAGATCCACATGATCTCGGCGAGTGCGAAGTGTTCCCGGGGGCGCAAGTGCTGGGCGGCCGACTCCAGGCCTCTCCGATGGCTCCAAATTCGGCTGCAAGATGTTCGACGCAGCATCCAGGATGCGGATCTCCAGGAGTTTCGGGACACCCTGGACAGTCTGGAAGACAGCCCTGCAATTTTTCACGCCTCTCCCGCCCTTGCTCGAGGGCTGCAGGAAGTTCGCGTTGCCGCAGGACGGTTGCAGAAGGAATTTCAAGCGCAGAGGCTCAACGCGGAGTTGGGCATCCCACGATTTTAGATGAGTTGCTCGCTCAAGTCGGCAAGATCATCGATGCTGAACTTGCCACCGAGCGCAGTGAGGACGGGCAGGACTGGAGGGATTGGGTGCAGCCTTCCATGAAAGGAGTTATGGGATCGGCGCACAGGTGGACGAAGAAACCCGAAGCTTGGAAGCCTGTTTCGGTTGTGCACCGCCGGCGATTTTCTGGGCGCCCGCAGCGCATCCTCCAGGTCGAGGCCGACCGACTCGTCAAGATTTGGGATGTTCACACTGAGGCTCCCCCACAATGGATTCCCCAGACCGGCGACAGGGTGGCCCTTGGACCCATCGCCCCAGCTCGCCTTCGAAAGGTATACAGAAGCTTTCCACAGAGTGCGGCCTCAACTTGGGACGGAGTGCACCCGCGCCACTTCGCCATGCTCGATTACGAGCAAGCCGACGTCGTTTGTAAGATGATTGAGCTTATCGAGCAGATTGGGCACATGCCATCGCAGTTGCAGGGTGCTATATCTACGCTCATGCTCAAATTAAAACAACATGATGATATTCATGGTCAGCCCGCCTTTCGGTCGGTTGGCATGCTCCCTGCTCTTCATCGTGTCTGGGCCCGACTGCGGAGATCATTGGCCCGAGAGTGGGGATTTCACCACAGACGACCATATTGCACATCAGGCTGGACATTCAATAGTGGCACATGTATATGCGCAGTCACTTGAATGCGAATAACATGCGTGTCAAGAGGAACCCCAACATCCCGCTCAAGTGTTATGGGGCCTCTCTAAATATTACGAGCATGTAGATCGCGAGTGCCTTGCCCAGCGCCCTGTCGCCTCTGGTTTCCCGTGCTGCCTGCTCCGCATCATCCTCTCTCAATGTGGTAGTGCCCGTTTCGTTGCTATGCGGGACGTGTGTGTTAATGCCGGCAAGACTTTCGGGGCGCTCGAACGCCTCGGCGGGCCCTCTGCGGACATCTCAGGACCCAACCTCGGTGCGGAAAGCGGGGCTGGACGGCCCCAAAGGCGCTGGCGAAAAGGGCTAGAGCGCGTGGCCCGTATCAAAATGGTTAAACATGCGGGGGGAAACGGTAAGAAGTTGTACAATATTGGCCTCGCAGCGGCCACCGCGTTCGGAGTTGGGGTCGCGGGCATCAACAACGCGATGCTCGCGCAGGCCCAAACTCAACCTTTGGCTGCAGCAGGTCCTAGGTGTGTCTCGAGGAGCCGTGCTCTCTCGCTCCTCATCCTCCAGGACCCCCTGTGCAAAGGCGGGCCTCGGGCCCGCGCGTATGTGGCGCCGTCTTGTCTGGGGGGCCGACGCCCGCCCCGATGCGGCCGTGGCCAGCCTCCTACAGATCTGCCCCTGCGGAGAGGCGGTTTTGCCGAAGGTTTCCAAAACTTGGGGCTCCTGTAGGCGCCCCGTCAGCGCGGCGGACCTCTCGTTGGCCAGGGTGAGGTGGTCGTTTCAAGGTCCTTTCCGTTTTGTGACCCCATGCAGGCCTTGTGTATCCCCTTTTCCCAGGACTTTCCCCAGCCTGCGTTGCCAAGCAGCTCGAGGTTGCCTGGCGCGACAAGCTAGCAGTGCAGGCTGCCACCGCGATGGGACATCATGGCGAGCAGCTTGACGTTTCAGCCCTCCGCACCATCCTCAGCTCAGTCGAGCTGACCACTCAGCAGCGCGGCGCGCTGCTGGCCTTCGCCACCCAGAGTATCTGGACTTTGGAGCGCGCACTTTCAGCAGGATATGGTGCGCCCCAAGGTTGCCCATGTGGACGCCGCAAAGATGACCTCCAACATCGCCTCCTCGAGTGCCCCAAGACTGCCCAGGCCAGAGAAGAGTTCACTCGTGGGGAGCTTCGTAGGTTGAATGACCCGATTCCTGACACCTCCCCGCTCCACCTTGGGTTTCAGTTTGCGCCCAACTTTGCGCCCCCCCCCCCCCCCCCTGGCACTGGCTTGGAGGTCGCTAAGTTTTGGTGTGGAGGCCTTAATCTCAGGCCTGAGGAAGCGTTCAAAGGTGATGTCTACATAGATGGTAGTTGCACGTGTCACGGCCGCTATAACTTCAATGCTGCTGGGCTTGCCGTAGTGTGCATGGTGGATGGAGAGGAATTTGCCACCTGTTATGGCCGCGTTGGGTCCCTGGGGGCCCAAACCTCGGGGGCCGCTGAGCACCTCGCCGCAGTGGCGGCAGGCAGGCTCTCGCCTCGCGTTGACAAGATTTACTCAGATTATACAGGGGTGTTGCAGTTGCACATGGACGCTGGATACCCTTTCCGCAACCAGTGGTCAGGTTGTCAAGTGCTCGCGGGCGGAGGCTATGCTTGACTTCGGCCCCGAAGTCCAGAAAGTCAAGGCTCACCAAAGTCTGGAGTTGCTTCCCCCCGACAGTGACGAATTCCGTTTAGCTTGCGGCAGCGATGCCGCAGATAGGATTACCAAGACCGCCGCGAATTTTGGCAGTCAGCCTAGTCTCGACGAAGTAGAGCAGTATCAGAAAGACAGTGCTCTGCTGAAGAAATGCCATCGATATGTGTCCAAAGCCCTTGGAGAGTGGCCCGCGATAGCCCCTCGTCGCGACGGGGCGCTGGCCGAGCCCGTGAAGAGCCTCTCCCTTCCCTCGGGGGCTGCCCCGGCTTCGGCCTCCTGGGGTCCTGGGGCCTCGCCTTCCGCCCCTCCTCCCCCTCCTCCTCCTGTGGCCCCTTGCGAGATTCCGAGGGCCCACGTCTGGGCGATAGGAAGGGCCAGCGCCGGTGTACGATTTGCCGCATCTGCGTCCGCACGTTTCAAAGCATATAAGGAGCGATGCAGTGCGATGGATTTTCTTGGACACTGCCCCCAGATGTGCAACCTGGCCTCCAACCCAGGGGGCATACTTTGTTCTCTTACGAGCACCTCGAACAGCCAACAAGTCTTCTGGCGCGCCACAAGTGCGGTTCCTTTAAGGAGGGCAGTTCGAGAGGTTTGTCTGGTGATTGTAAGTTGAGACCGCCCCAGAATGTGGCTAAGCTGCAGCTGCGGAGAACGCCGTCTGGCCGTCGCCCCAAGAGTGCCGCCGCTAGCCCGATTGTGCTCAGTTCCCTTCCCGCGCCGCTAGAGCAGCTGCTCAGAGAGGCAGCTCGAGCCCAGGCGTAGACAGGCCCGCACCGGGGATGAGGCTTGCCCACCGTTCTGGCGTTCTCTACACCAGTGGTGGGCAGTGCCGAGTCGTCCTGGCGTCGCCGTATTCTCTGTGTACTTGTGCGCGTGTGCGAGCGCGCTCCCCGCGCGCGTGTCAGGCACCCCAACTCGGGGGGAAGGGGCGCTCACTTCTTTCTCCTGCGGCATTTTCCGTTGCTACGCCTTGGCCCGACGCAGGTTCGATCTGGGGTTTTGTTTCTCGCTCCGACTGGCGGTGCTCGTGTCCCGCAGCCAGCCCCAGTACCCGAATTGTTGGGTACCGCCAGCCAGGCGAGGCATGCCGTCCTTTTCACTGCAGGGTGTTGCTTTGGCGCTACCTCTTTGCTGGGCACGGGGGTGGTTTTTGGGCCCCCTTTGCCCCCCCTGACTGCTGCCCAGATCCACCTTCCCACCTCCCCGCCACAGGCGGCGGAGGCAGGTCTGCAACGCCGCATCTGGGCCCAACTGAGTACCGCGCGTGTGCGCGTGCGTGCGCGGTCCTGCACGCGTGTCAGGCACCCCGCCTCAGGGGGAAGGAGCGCTGTGCAATTTTCTGCGGCGCAGGGCTGCAGCTTCGCCTCAGCCCACAGCTGTTTCCTGGGGTCAGAACTTCTTTCCTGGACTGACGGTGCTGGTTACGCAGCCAGCCCCAGAACCTGAACCTTGGGGTTCCGTCAGCCAGGCGACAACCCCACGGGGGCCTCTGAGCACGGGGGTGGACTTGGGTTGCCAGCCCGCCCCGACAGTGGCTCTTCCCCACTTCCCCACCCCCCACGATCGTGGGCGGTGGCGGTGCGGTGCTGTTGAGGCCTGGTGTGCGAGGCCACACCAGGTCCCAGCACCGCATCCAGCGTCGGCAGCGTACTGCCGTCTCAGCGGCACCCATGGCCGCTGTGGGGAACAACTGGTGGCCCTGTGCCACGAGGTTTCGGGTTAGGGTCGGGTCGGCCAACCCTTAGCCTCCCCATTCGCCAAGTGATGGTCCTCCTCCTCCTTCTCCTCCTCCTCTTCCTCCTCCAGCCTCGCCTGCACTGGGCACGGCGCATCTCAGCCGCTCCTGCCGCCGCGGTGTCCACGCTCTATGCGTCGGCGTGGAGGTCGACGTTGCGCCGCAGGCGCTCCAGGCATGTGGGGACCTTCTCCCCCAGCTTGGCCTGCAGCGCTGGGAGCAAAAAAACCACTGCGCGATCTCGTCGTCGCCGATGACGGCGTACAGGGCCTCTTCCGCGGCTTCTGGGCGAGTTCTAGCCCTGGCTAGCTCGCCGGAGAGCCGCGGGACGGCATTGTCAGCTAACCATTTTGCCCATTCTCGGCCTGCCCTGCGCTGGGCCGCCGATCGCCTTGGCGCACCCTCCGCGCCTTCCTGTGCCATCCTGTTCTGGCCCTCCCTCAGCCGCCCCGCGACGGGGCTATGGGCGAAAAAGCTGCAGAGGAAGCGGGGGAATGTTGCCATGTTGTCTTGAGCGAAAGTGGCTACGGAAGGAGGAGGACGAGGAGGAGGAGGAGGAGTAAGAGGAGGAGGAGGAGGATGAGTAGGATTAGGAGGAAGAGGAGGAGGAGGATGAGGGGGAGGAGGAGGAGGAGGAGGAGGAGGAGGAGGAGGAGGAGGAGGAGGCGGAGGAGGTGGAGGAGGAGAAGGGGAAGGATGATGATGCTGCTGCTGCTGCTGATGATGATGATGATGATGATGATGATGATGATGATGATGATGATGATGATGATGAGGAGGAGGAGGAGGAGGAGGAGGAGGAGGAGGAGGAGGACAGGGACTAGATGGACCCGAGAGTTGTCAACCATGGTGCAACACACCATCCCGTCCCAAATCCCCTCCCCATCTAGTCTGTACAAGTGTATTTTTCACTGCGCGAAGCGCGAGGGCCTGCAATTCAGGCGGGAGCTCCGTTTTGAAGGACACCGCCCTCCATCCTTCAATCTTGAGGAATGCAACAAGGTGGTTTTGCGCTCGTCATTTGTGTAGTTGTTGTGCGTGCTTATTTCTGTGACAGAGTCAAACGAAGTCTCAGGCCAGAGCCCCAAGTTGATACGGGACTGGCCTCCCTCCGTGTAGCTGTTGCACAATTTTGCGCTTCTGGTTGCTTTAGGACGGCTGAGGCGACTCCCATTTTCATCAGGTGCTGGCCTCCATCCATGTATATGTTGGAAGTGTAGTTCTTCTTAAGATGACTGCGCGGCGCATAGGCGAGAGGCACACCTTGAAAACGATTGGCCGGCTACTTGTTGGGAAGGTTGTTGCACAAGCGTGCGCTGCGGGTGCGAAGGCGAGAGCCACAGTTCGAAAACGATTGGCCCCCTCCGCGTAACTGTTGGACTTTGTTTAGCAGTGCCATAGTCGTACGTCGCACGGAAATCTTAAGCGAAACACGCCCGGCCAGGTCCCCGGACAAGCCTGCGGAGGAGGGACGGAGGACGGGGAGAAGGAGGGAGTAAGAGGAGAAGTAGGAAGAGGAGTCGGAGGAGGAGGAGGAGGAGGAGGAGGAGGAGGAGACGGAGGAGGAGGAGGAGGAGGAGGAGGAGGAGGAGGAGGAGGAGGAGGATGACGAGGAAGAGGAGGAGGAGGAGGAGGAGGAGGAGGAGGAGGAGGAGGGAGGAGGAGGAGGAAGAAGAGGAAGAGTAAAACGGACAGCATTCAAAGGCGGTCCTCTCTCCCTCTTTCTGTCACCATGCCTGCCCTCCTCACGCAGGCTTACACCGATGCCGTCCTCGACGTGTATCAGCCCAAGATTTGCATTTCGGTCATCGGCTCGGCTTTCGAGGCATGCGCGCAGACCCGTGCCCTGGTGCATCATATTCATTGTCGCTATTCTTGGTTTTTGCGTTTCTGTCTGGCTTTGACTGCATCATGGCTCTGGCTGCCTTCTTCAGGGCCTCCGCTATTGCTGGCCTTTCTGTAGCTCGTCCGACGACGACGATGTCGGCGATGTCGACAACGAGGACCACGCCGAGCACGACGACGACGACGACGAGCACGACGGCGAACATGACGTCGACGACAAGGACGAGGACGACACGACGACGAGGAGGAGGACGACGACGATGAGTATGATGATGCTGACGATGACGATGATGATGATGATGATGATGATGATGATGATGATGCTGATGATGATGATGATGATGATGATGATCATGATCACGATCATGACGACGATGATGATGATGATCATGATGATGATGATGCTGATGATGATGATGATGATGATGATCATGATGCTGATGACGATGATGATGATCATGATGACGCTGATGATGCTGAGGATTATGCTGATAATGCTGATGATGCTGATGATGCTGCTGCTGCTGATGCTGCTGCTGATGATAATGACGATGACCATGATGGTGGTGGTGGTTGTGATGCTGATGATGATGCTGCTGCTGCTGATGATGATGATGATGATGATGATGATGATGATGATGATGATGGTGATGGTGATGGTGATGATGATGATGATGATGATGATGATGATGATGATGATGATGATGATGATGATGATGAGGATGCTGATGATGATGATGATGATGATGATGATGATGATGATGATGATGATGATGATGATGATGATGATGACGATGATGATGATGGTGGTGATGACGACGCCGACGACGAGAACGAGGACGACGAGCACGACGACGACGAGAACAAGGACGACGATGACAACTACGGCGACGACGACGCCCACGATGACGACAACGACTTCGACGACGACGCCCACGACGAGGACGACGCCGACGACGAAGACGAGCGCGACAACGAACACGACGACGAGGACGAGGCTGAAGACGACGACAAGGACGACGACGATGACGTCGACGATGGCGACGACGACGAAGCGGGGACGACGACCTCGACGAGGACGACGACGAGGAGGAGGAGGACGACGACGACGACCACGACGACGACGAGGACGACGACGACGACGAGGACGACGCCGACCACGAGAACGACAGGGTCTACGATAACAGGACGACGAGGAGCGCGACGACGAACACGACGACGACGACGAGGACGAGGCTGACGACGACGACGAGGATGGCGACGACGGCGTCGACGGCGGCGACGACGACGAAGGGGGGACGACGACGAGCACGAGGACACCGACGACGAGGAGGAGGACGTCGACTAGGACGACGACCTCGACAAGGACGAAGCCGATGACGACGACGAGCGCGACGACGAACACGACGACGACGAGGACGAGGCTGTCGGCAACAACGACGACGACGACGAGGACGACGACGACGAGGACGACGCCGACCACGACGAGGACGACGACAACGACGATGACGACGACGAGGACAACGACGAGCGCCACGACGACGACGACAACGGCGAGGACGACGACGTCGACGAGGACGACGACGGCGTCGCCGACGACGACGAGGGGGACGACATCGACGATGACGACGCCGAGTGGGACCACGAAGGCGACGTCGAGGACGACGACGACGATGACGATGACGGCATGGACGACGGTGACGATGGCGGCGAGAACGACGACGACGAAGAGTTCGACTTCGAGGACGACGAGGACGGCGAGAACGACTCCAACGCCGACGACACCGACCACCGAGACGACCACGACGAGGACGACGACGATCATGAGGACGACGACGAGCACGACGACGACGAACACGAGAACGAAGACGACGAGGACGAGGACGACGACGACGACGACGACTGCGAGGAGGCGGCGACGACGGCGACGAGGAGGACGACGACAACGACGACGACAACGAAGACGACGACGATGCTGGCGACGACGACGCCAAAGACGGCGACGACGAGGACGATGATGACGACGTCGATGACTGCGATGGCGCCGACGGCGACGACGAGGACGACCACGACGGAGACGACGATGACGACGATGACGACGAGGACGACGATGAGGAGGACGAGGACGAGGACGACCACGATGACGACGACGAGCACGTGGACCACGATGACCACGACGAGGACGAAGCCGATGACGACGAGGACGACGACGAGCACGACGACGAGGACGACGACGAGCACGCCGACGAGCACGACGACGACGAGGATGGAGACAACGACGACTTGGACGGCGACGATGACGAGCACGACGACGAGGACGTTGACGACGACGACGAGGACAACGACGAGGACGACGAGGACGACGACGATCATGAGGACGACGACGAGCACGACGACGACGAACACGAGAACGAAGACGACGAGGACGAGGACGACGACGACGACGACGACGACTGCGAGGAGGCGGCGACGACGGCGACGAGGAGGACGACGACAACGACGACGACAACGAAGACGACGACGATGCTGGCGACGACGACGCCAAAGACGGCGACGACGAGGACGATGATGACGACGTCGATGACTGCGATGGCGCCGACGGCGACGACGATGCCGACCACGACGGAGACGACGATGACGACGAGGACGACGAGGACGACGATGAGGAGGACAAGGACGAGGACGACCACGATGACAACGACGAGCACGTGGACCACGATGACCACGACGAGGACGAAGCCGATGACGACGAGGACGACGACGAGCACGACGACGAGGACGACGACGAGCACGCCGACGAGCACGACGACGACGAGGATGGAGACAACGACAACTTGGACGGCGACGATGACGAGCACGACGACGAGGACGTTGACGACGACGACGAGGACAACGACGAGGACGATGAGGACGACGACGATAATGATGACGACGACGAGCACGACGACGACGAACACGAGAACGAAGACGACGAGGACGAGGACGACGACGACGACGACGACTGCGAGGAGGCGGCGACGACGGCGACGAGGAGGACGACGACAACGACGACGACAACGAAGACGACGACGATGCTGGCGACGACGACGCCAAAGACGGCGACGACGAGGACGATGATGACGACGTCGATGACTGCGATGGCGCCGACGGCGACGACGATGACGACCACGACGGAGACGACGATGACGACGAGGACGACGAGGACGACGATGAGGAGGACAAGGACGAGGACGACCACGATGACAACGACGAGCACGTGGACCACGATGACCACGACGAGGACGAAGCCGATGACGACGAGGACGACGACGAGCACGACGACGAGGACGACGACGAGCACGCCGACGAGCACGACGACCACGAGGATGGAGACAACGACGACTTGGACGGCGACGATGACGAGCACGACGACGAGGACGTTGACGACGACGACGAGGACAACGACGAGGACGATGAGGACGACGACGACGACGACGACGAGGACAGCGACTACGCCGACTACGTCGACGACGACGAGGACAACGACCATGACGAGGACGACGACGTCGAGGACGACGACGAGGACGACGCCGCCGATGACGACGACATCGGACGACGACGACGACGAGGACGACCACGACGACGATGAGGACGACGACGCCGACGACGACGACGACATCGAGGACGACGACGGCGACGACGAGGACGATGACGACGACGAGCACGAGGACGACGAAGATAATGATGACGACGACGACGAGGACGACGAGCATGACGACGACGACGACCACGACGAGGATGGCGAGCACGACGACGAGGACGACGACGACGAGGACGACGCCGAGTACGACGACCTTGCATGACGACGACGACGAAGACAACGACGAGGACTACTTCGACGCCACCGACGACGACCATGACGACGACGACGATGACAACGACGACGACGAGGACAACGACGACGACAACGAGGACGACGACGACGATGACGACGACGACGCGGACGACGACGACGACGATCCGACGACGACCGCGACGACCACGACGACGACGACGACGAGCACGACGACGACCACGAGCTCGAAGACGAGGACGAGGCCGAAGAGGACGACCACGACGACGACGACGACGAGCACGACGACGACGACGGCGGCGCGAGGTGCAGCGCAGCGGCCGGCAGACGTGCTCCATCTTCGTCGGGGAGGACGTCAAGACGCAGGCGCCCATCGAGGATCTCGGCCCTGTGTGCTTCGGCCCGGGGTCAGGGCCTCCTGCCCTCGCCACGTGGTCCTCGCAGAAGGAACCACGCCACAGACACGAGCCTTCGGAGGTCTGCGCGGATCTCTCGGAGCCTCCGGCGCCGCCACTGGCGCGCTCCGCGCTCCAGGGAGGGGGGGCCGGGCGCGGATCCATCAAAACTATTATTTACTTTTTTAAAATTTATTAATAATATACCATTAATAAAATATCTAATTTCTTTTTTTTGAATCAAATAATCAACTAATTATAACAGGGTTTCCGTGCGGACAGGTGGAAGTTCATGTTTGTGCCGTCTTTTGTTTCTCCAGGTTCGGTCCCTCGTTCGGGCCCTCGCTCGTCTCGTTTGCGGCTGTCTTCGTTGGAGTCGGGGCTAGTCGCCAACCCACGGCCAGAGAAAGTCAGGATGCAGGCCATGGCCCGACTCGAAGGACAACCGCATGATAATACACTCTCGGAGGTCCGCGTGGATCTCTCGGATCGGCGCCTGGGTCCCCCTGGCGGCGCCTCTGGCGCCGTCCCTGGAGCGCTCCGCGCGCCATTGTGCGGGGTTCTGGGCCCGATCCAGGAAATCTGCACGGACCGCAAAGTTTCTGCTTACGCATTTTTTCTGTTGGTTCCGACTGACGACCGTAGGCGCACGAGGGCCCTGAGGCAGCCCGAGTTGGCCCAGCGGCCGCACAAGCAGCCCCTGAGAGTCCCCCGAGGGGCCCCAGGACGGCACCGGAGGCTTCAGTATGATCCACGAGGCACATCCGTGACCAAGTTGGTTCTAGCTCGCATTATCATGAGTCTGGCGCGGCGTGCCCACATTCGAAGTACGCGGCTGATCGAGCTGAAGTGTCACACTTGTTGCCATCCCGCGCTCTGCATTGACTTCACTTCGTGCTTGGAGCCAAGCGCTTCGAACGTGGCGTCTCGGAACGGTAGCGGGGGAGCTCATTTGGCAGTTGCCTCAGGGAATCGGGATAGCGCTAACATCTTGGGGAGAATTGCGCAGATCATCCTGAACGAAGGGATCGGGGTGCATACAGACTTCAGTAATTGGTGGCTCGACTGCTACTGTGAGGGCCCTTCTTGGCTGTGATGACGAAGATTGTATCTCAGTGCGAGACGTCCCCGAGGTACACATGACGTTTGAAAGTTGGTCCCTAGAGGCTAAGGACGCGCTGATTCAGGCACATCCATTGGGTACGATGGTCAACAGGGTCTGTACATGGAGGAAAGTATCGCGCAGCAAACCTGGAATGACTACCTGATCCCCATCGAGTATTACGTCTCCTTGATCCACCCCAGTCGCCCATGGATTCAACACTTCACAACACCTTCCGACATCCATATTCCAAGTGATAGTGGTTGCCGAGGTGCTGCAGCCTTATCCTCCTCATCCTCCTCGTCCTCATCCTCCGCCTCCTCCTCATCCTCCTCATCCCCCTCCTCCTCATTCCCCATCCCCACCCCTCCTCCTCTGAATGTGCACCAGGTTTTGGTGACTCGTCTGAACATGGTGGCTTGTACTTTATGCGGCTCGTAGCAAGTGTCCAATAGCAAAGTAGTGTCTTGGACCTACTGAGCACAAAACCGCCCCCCAAAACATATCAAACTATAGGGGCTGTTCAGACTGGTTGTACAGGCTGTCGGGCCTACCGTTAAATCCCGACCAGGTTCAGTTGCGTATGTATAGGCCCCCGTTCCCGTCCGTCGGCTGCACGATGAGGATGAGGAGGAGGAGGAATGAGGAGGAGCTGGAGGAGGAGGAGGAGGGTCCGAAGGAGGGGAATGAGAAGCATGAGGAAGACGAGGTTGAGGACGAGGAGGAGGATGAGGATGAGCACGATGCTGCTGCTGATGATGACGAATAACGATGATGATGACGATGATGATGCTGATGCTGATGCTAGTGATGTTGGTGATTATGCTGATGATCATGATACTGATGCTGACGATGATAATGATGGTGAGGATTCTGATGATGATGACGATGATGCTGATAATGATGATGATGACGATGATGATGATGATGATGATGATGATGATGATGATGATGATGATGATGATGATGAGCCAGAGGAGGATGAGGAGGATGAGGATGAGGATGAGGAGGAGGAGGAAGTATGACGACAATGCTGCTGATGATAATGATGATGCTGATGCTGATACTGCTGCTGCTGATGATGCGGATGCTGCTGATGATGATGAGGAGGCGGAGGAGGAGGAGGAAGAGGAGGATGAGGACGAGAAGGAGAAGCGATGGGGCCGCGGGATGTCGGGAGCGGGCCTGGAGAGCGCGCCGCTCGGGACGCGCCCTGCACCGCGGCAGGCGGGCCCGGACCTCAAGGCCCTGATCGCCTCGCACAAGCAGCAGGCTCGGGTGACACGACAGTGAGGCTGCTGATGCTCCTGCTGCTGCTGCTGATGATGCTGCTTCGGATCCTCCCTGTCTTCCTCCTCCTCCTCCGCATTATCCTCCTCCTCCTCTTCCTCCTCCTGCTCGGTGGTGGTGAGACGGTGGCGATGATGCTGACGATGCTGCTTCGGATGCCGGTAATGCTGGTGATGGTGGCGGTGGCGATGCGGGCGACGGTGACGACGATGGCGAGGGCGATGCTCACGACGATGCCGGTGTTGCTGATTATGACGAGATTGGGATGGAGATGGTGATGGTGATGGTGATGGTGATGGTGATGATGATGATGATGATGATGATGATGTTGATGGTGATGATGATGGTGATAATGATGATGCTGATGATACTGATGATGATGGTGATGATGATGGTGATGACCATGCTGATAGCAATAATGATTCTGATGCTGATGATGATATTGATGCTTATGATACTGATGCTGATGCGGATGATGATGTCGACGGTGACGACGACGATGACGATGATGATGATGCTGATGATGATGAGGATGAGGATGATGATGATGATGATGATGATGATGATGATGATGATGATGAGGATGAGGATGAGGATGATGGTGATGATGTTGCTGATGGTGCTGATGGTGGTGATGATGCTGTCGCTGATGCTGCTGATGGTAGGGTTGCTGTTGCTGCTGATAATGATGCGGATGCCGACGGTGATGATGATGATGTTGATAATATTGCTGACGTTGATCATGCTGTTGAGTATGATGATGATGATGATGATGATGATGATGATGATGATGATGATGATGATGATGATGATGATGGTGATGCTTCTGCTGCTGATGATGCTAATGGTGCTGCTGATGATGATGTTGATGCTGCTGATGATGAGGAGTCTGATGATGCTGATGATGCCGATGATGTGGATGATACTGTTTTTGATGCCAGTGATGATGGGCGGGGATGATGAGTATGATATTGATGATGATGGCTGCTGATGATGCTAATGCTGCCAATTATGCTGCTGATGATGACGAACGTGATGAAGATGAAGATGCTGATGCTGATGATGCTGATGATGATGATGCTGATAATGATAAGGATGCTGATGCTGATGACGATGATGATGCTGATGCTGCTGATTATGATGATGATGCTGATGATGATGATGATGCTGATGCTGCCGATTGTGCTGCTGACGATGACGAACGTGATGATGATGCTGATGATGACGAACGTGATGATGATGCTGATGATGATGATAATGAGGATGCTGATGCTGATGACGATGATGATAATGCTGATGATGATGGTGATGATGATTCTGCTGCTTCTGGTGATGCTGATGCTGATGAGGATCATGCTGATCATGATGATGATGATGATGATGATGATGATGATGACGACGATGATGATGAGCGCAACCATGATGATGATGATGATGATGATGATGATGATGATGATGATGATGCTGATGCTGGTGATGATGATGCTGCTGATGATCACTGCGATGATGGTGGGTGGTGGTGATGCTGATGCTGATGACGATGACGACGACGATGACGATGATGCTGATCACGATGACGATGGCCATGGCGATGACGACGATGATTATGATGACGATGCGACTGCTGACGATGATGATGATGATGATGATGATGATGACGATGATGATGATGATGATGATGATGATGTTGATGATGATGATGATGACGACGATGATGTTGATGCTGCTGCTGATGCTGATGATGACGATGACGATGATGCTGATGCTGAGGCTGGTGATGATGATGATGGCAATGTTGCTGATGCTGCTGATGATGATGCTGATGATGACGATGATGATGACGATGCTGATGCTGATGCTGACGACGAGGCTGCTGGTGATGTTGATGATGATGAGGACCGTGCTAACGATGATGGTGGTGGTGATGATGATGACGCTGATGTGACGACGTCGGTGATGATGCTGACGATGATGATGATCACTATGACGATGATGATGATGCTGATGCTGATGCTGATGCTGATGATGATGATGATGATGATGATGATGCTGATGCTGCTAACGATGATGCTGATGCTAATGCTGATGATGATGATTATTATTTTTATTATTATTATTATTATTATTATTTTCATTATTGTGATGATGATGTTGATGATGTTGATGATGTTGATGCTGATGATTATGCTGATGATGCTGAGGAGGAGGATGACAATGATAATGCTGTTGATGCTGATGATGGTGATGATGATAATGATAATGATGATGATGATGATGATGATGATGATGATGATGATGATGATGATGATGATGATGATGATGATGATGACGATGCTGGTGATGATAATGCTGATGATGAGGCTGCTGCTGATGCTGATGATGATGCTGATGATGACGATGCTGCTGCTGATGCTGATTCTGATGATGAAGGTGATCATGAGGAGGAGGATGAAGAGGAGGAGGAGGAGGAGGAGGAGGAGGAGGAGGAAGCGGCTTGTTCCTCGGAGAGACCGTTTCGGAAACGACTGTGCGGACGTCTGGGCCCTGGGCCACGCACGCTGCCTTCAAACTGAGGCTTCCAACATACGCCCGTGAGAAGCTTAGTAAGTCTCAGATGCTGGTCGAGGACTGCGCGCATTTGATTGCGCGATTCGGGATGGCCACTGATTTGCTCGACACTGTCACCCTTTGTCCTGGGGCCAGGGCCCTGAGTTAGGCCCCTGGGGGCCCGGTCGTGGCGTGAACCAAGCTCGGCCACGAGCTCCTTGGGCCTCCAGGGACCAGGTGGTGTGTTCGGCGTCGCGTGTCTCTGCCATCGGCCTCAGGGTGCCCTGGGTCGGTGGTGGCAGTGGCCCTCCAGACCAGTACATTGGTTCGTGATGGAGGAGGGGTGGGTCACAAGCTGGGGCGCTGCGGCACCCCCAGCCGAACACGATCGCCCAACTTTTGCCGTGACGGCGCGTGTATCGTGCGGAGCGGCGTCGTCGCGCCAGCTTCAGTCGCTCCCTCAACCGTGCAAAAGTCCTGGGGTCCATGGCCGACGGGCCTTTCGGGCGTCGAGGGAAGGTTTTGTGCCCCATGTTAAGAGGGGCGAAGGTCGCGACTGCAGTAGTCGCGGCCGAGTAGGGTGGTACACAGACGTGCCCGCGCTCAGTCATCGCATCGAGGGGGAGGGCATCCGACGCTTTTGGCGGCTTGCCGAGGTTTCTGGCGGGATCAGGAGGTTTCCTAAGTGTTTCGATTCGGAGGAGGACGAGGAGGAGGACAAGGAGGTGGATGACGTTGAGGAGTCTGACCATGGCCTTCCCTTGCCCTTCCTTTCTCCCCTCCTCCCTACCTCCTTTATCTCCCTCCCTCCCTCCCTCCCTCCTCTTTCCACCCCGTTCCCCCTGGAGAGTACAGTTTTTTTTTTTTTTTTTTTTTTTTTTTTAAAGGGTAAGGGCAGCGGGTGGATGCTTGGGCAGATGCCCAGGGCAGGAGGCGTATTCGCGCCCGTGCCTTTCCCAAACCATCAGCCCTCTTCCCGTTCCTTTCCCGCCTTTTCTTGCTCCTCCTCCTCCTCCTGGAGGGTGAGGGAGCAGGCGTGGGCATAGGCAATGGATCCTGCAAGGGGGAGGCTTTTAATCTCGCCGGAGTCGTCAAGGCAGAATGCGAGGTTCCTTCTGGCTGATGGTGGTCGCTGAGTGTGCGTGTGCGCGTGAGCATGCGCGGTGTGCATGCGAGTGCGAGCGTGCCCGCGCAGACGACTCGCACGAGCGAGTTCACTGACACCGGGCCTGCCAACAGCTTGCACGGGCATGCCGCGTCTCCGGGGGGATGCCGGAGCACGAGGAGCTCCACCGGCTGCAGGAGGAGGCGCAGGAGCAGGAGTACGATGATCCCAGACATGCAGCGACTCGAGAAGGTCAGGACGGAGGTTTCTCTTTGTTCCCAGCCATGCTGTGGTGTTGGGTCCTCGTTTTGAAGAGGGTGCCCCGCGTCCTTCTTCCTTTTCACCCTCCTCCCTACTCCCATCCCCCATTCCTGCCTCTTCCCTCTTCAAGCCTCTTTCTGAGGTTTCTGTTTGTTTTCGGCTTATTGGGGCCCCTGGACAGTCAAAAAGCGACTTAGGATGACAACCTGGTCTTGGGGAAAGGGCCAGGACTTCTGGGGATCGCGCATTGAACACGTCAAGACATCGCATGTTTGGGAAGCATAAGTGGAATCATATGCAGGAGTAGGACCAGTGAGGAGGAGGAGGAGGAGGAGGAGGAGGAGGAGGGCGTTTGAGTCAGTGGGCTTGTGCAAGTACGGTCTGTCTATCGTTGCTGGGCTCCATCCCTGGCACGACGTTTAATCATGCTGCACATGTAGTCCATGATGTGTGATTCGCATGCTCTTATTGTAGCTCCGCTTTGGCACCCCTCGTATGATGGGCTTGGGTACGGCATATGCAGGAAGGGAACGTGATCAGAAGACAACAGCCGTCGCGGAAGACGAAGACGCTTAGACGTGGAGGTCGATGAGGCCAGAAGAGCGCAGGAGAGAATAGCCCCGTCAGGCCGCGTACATCGATGCGTTGCACGAGGAGGTCAGACGACTGAACACACCGTCGTACCGTCCGATGACGGGGGCTCCTCCGCAGCAGGCACGTTCGCTCGCATTCCACGAGCCCTTGCGGGAGTCAGCTCCAATCATCATGTTTGGTCTGCTCGTGGTTGCTGTCCTCGTCTTTCTCTCTGTCCTCGACGACTTAGCTGGCCCCCAGTTTTCGTCCATCTCATCGTTGTTTCTTGTAGGCGGCACCCTTTCTTGCTGTAGTCACGAACCTTTTTCGCTCCGTCGCTTGCTCCTCAGCTGCGATCTTACCATGGGCTGCAAGCCTTCATCAAAGATGCTCACGCCGAGTCATTGCCGCCCCCTGCCTATTTGGAAACGCCTACGTTGTCAAACGTTGACCCAAAGCCTGGCCAAGTTATTTGACTCTGCGTTCCCCCAGCCGTTGTGGAAACCCTTTGGGTAGCATTGTGGGGAGGAAGACGGGGAAAAGGAGGAGGACCATTGTAAACCCAAGGCGCATCAATTGCAATCAACTCTCCCTCCAAGTTCCCTCCTCATATGTCCCCGACAGAATTCATTGTTATTTCGGGAAGCAGCCCATTAGAAGACAACCGTCTGATACTTTCCAATCTTGCCAACACGTAGTCCTTGGGACTTCAGCGTCGCGGATCAACGTGATTGTTGCGTCCTGGCAATCCTAAATCGTGCTAGAACGCTCCTCGGACTCCAACAGCGTGGACCAATGTAACTGTTGCGTCCTGGCAATCCTAAATAGTGCCATTCTCAGCATCCCCGGGACTTCGAGGATGCGAGTCGATGACTCTGTCCCAAACTTTGAAGACGAATGGGCGCGTGGCTCTTTGGCGAGAGCCATTTTTTGACAACGACCCGCCCCCCCCCCATCCGTTAATCCGGTGCAGACGTTTAAGATGAATGTGCGCGGCGCTTAGGGGAGAAACATCTTTTGAACACCGCCCGCCCTCCAGCCGTGACACGGGTGCACACGTTTCAGACGAACGTGCGCAGCGCTAGGGCGATAAAGCCACATTTTGAGGTTGACCCGCCCTCCAGCCGTGAAGCTATGGACAATCCCTGAAACACTCCTCAAGGGTATACCCCATCGCCCCCACCAAGCGCGCAGTGACAGCAGAAGTGCCGGAGGAAAGCTGCGACATCAGCGTCCACCTCTCCCCAGCGGGCGTCAACGCAGAGGCAAAGGACACGCGCTCAAGGCAATCGGCCCCAAGGGGCGAGCTCACCCCCAACGACAGGGAACACAACAGCGCGGCAGGAGAAAGCAGCGAACCAGTCAGGGTCGGACGCGACAGCAAATCCGTGTTCCCCAACGTGGACCCGCCAGAGTGCCCCGTCCTACCAACCCAATCCACCTGCAGGCTCTCCGGGGTGGAGTCCGACGGCCCCGTTCACTCCCTGGTGAAGTACCTGCTGGAATGGAACCACTCCGTCTACATATGTTGGGCTGATTTCGTACAGCGGTACGGTGAAGGCATCCCAGGGGACAGAACCGACGAGGGGTCGTGGCCCACAGCAAGCTTGCTCCCCTTCCTGGGAATGATCTACGGGGAGTCGATCCCAAACAACTGCCCCCCCCCCCCCCCGACATCCCATGGGATGGGCAACGGGCCGCAGTGGCCCGAGTGGTCTACCACCTGATGAAATCCAACGGGAAGTACCGAGACAAATGGGATAGCTACGCTGCCATCCTGACAGAGCAGAGAGGCCAGTGCCCCCTTCGACAGCCGATCAGCACACTGCTGACATTCCTCATGGGAACCGACCAGGCCGCCCTGGCCTACGGCACCATCACCGTCCTGGCCAACCGAGACCCGCGCGAGGCGGCCGCAGGCTCCTCAACGGCGGGTGATTCCCCAGCAGCAACCTGGCTGAACAGAGCAGTCGAAACCGAGCCCCCCCCCAGCAGACTGCCTTGGACCTGCGCAGGAGGACGCCTCTGCCCGTGCTCCCAGAGCGAACCCGCCACAGGTGCAGACGAGGGACGCGACCCGCAGGCAGAGGGGGGGGCTCCAACCGGCCAGGCAAGCAAAATCGAAGGCGAACCAGATGGGATCGACTGGGGAGGGGACAGGGACAAGAACAGCGAATCCGGCACAGCCAAAGGACCCGAGCCCGGAGCTCAGCCCAGCCCCGGTGGCAGACGAGGAAGAAGATGACAGCCCTGACCCCCGTCAAACTCTTCCTGGAACCACCCCGCAGGCCCGACGCCTGGTCCTCATACGATCGGATCGTTGATAGGAACGCCATCCGTGTAGTCAGGGGCGCGAGAGACAGCCCACAAAGAGCAGACAGCGCAGCCTGGAGCGTCAACGACGCTAGGGATGACCGAACCTTCAGCCGCGCGAGCGGTGACAAGGGCCGCCAGCGACCCGCGTGGGAAGACACCAAGGACGGGGATGGCCGTGCCACCAAATCCCCAAGAGGCGACCCAGCGCGGTTGCACATTTCCGGGGCGCCCTGGAGGGACGCACGGGCCGCGCAGCCACCCCGAGGCGACCCAGGCGATCCCATGGCAGGTATCCCGTTGTACATGTGCCGTGTCACCGACGCGGACGTTGCGAAGGATGAACCCGTGCAGGAAAAGATCATACGCCTGCAGAAGACGCTGGGGGGAGCGTTCAATGGAGTTTGGGCCGCATGGGTGAAGAAGGCTGCCATGGGGCAGGGGGCCAACGGAAGCGAAAAGCACGACCCTAGACGTAACGCGGTTCAGTCGTGCAACGAATTCATCCAGGCGCGGGGCAGTGCACGGTGCGGCGCCTACAACATGGACAGCGACCTGGGGCTCAACGTCCACTGGCCGTCGGTCAAGGACAAGCGCATGAAGTTCCTCCAACGCGAACCCAGAACCCACGCTCAGCGCGGACCCGACAGCTGCAGTGGACCCGCCCCATGGACAGCAGAAGGCAGGGCAGCCACGGCGGCAGCCGTGCATGATCGACGGGCAGGTGCCGTCGGCTCTGCCACCCCCACCCGGTGGCAGGGATGGCAGGACGCCAGAAAGCACGGTGGACGGAAACGGATTGGAAAGGGAAAGGCAAGCGCTACTCCCCCAGGGGAGACGATCGATACACAGACAAGTGCGCACGATGGTGGGACAGGGAGGACTAGTACGCCCAGGGTTAGCAGGGTCGGGGTGGCCTGACAGCGCGCCCCCTGCGCTCCCGGCCCGTCGCCTGCGAACCCCCGCTCCGCGTCGCCCGCGCCTCTCCCCGCTGGGGATGGGTTTCGCCTCGCAGCGCCCGGTGCCTCGGTCGTAATGCAATGCAACTGGGACTCCCATCTCTGGGCGCGGGGGTCTCCCCACATTTCGCCCCTGGCGCAGCATGGCTAGACAGCCCACGCTGGAGAAGTGGACCTTGCCTGGACATCTCGCCCCCCCTCAGCAGATGGGGGCTAGCCAGCGGGCCTCGCCGGTCCCGGGACCACCTACTCTGCTGTCCCACGGCGACAGCCATTCTCTCTCGGTGACAAGGGGGCGGCCTCAGATGCATCCCCCCAGCGCACCCCTCCTTTGCTGTCCAGCGTGACAGCCGCCCGCTCTCGGTGGCAGGGGGCAGTCGTCTGAAATAGTCGCCCCCCTGCGCGCCGCTCGGCCGGTGCCTAGGCCCAGCTTGCAGCTCCAGCTGCGGTACGTACGGCTGCGGCACATGAGCCCCCCATGAGGCGCGTCCGACGCTGGCGCGCCCCAGCTCGGACCGCATCGGCGAGGTTCTGCCCCCCCCTCGATGTAATTGTGTTTCGCGGCGGTCAGATGCACCCCCCTCATGCGCAGATGTTCTCGGCGTGCAGCTGCTATCAAGTTGCTTGTATCTTGCGGCTGTTAGCTGCGCCCCCTTTTCCATTGCGAGGTGCTCTCCGCGGGTGGCACTCACCCCTGGACAAACCGGGCGACGGGAGACGCCCCGGCGCTGCTGCGGGCTGGCCTCGGTGAGGGGCGGCGCGCTTCCCGCCGCTTCGGCCCGGTGGGTGCCCCCCGCTGTGCCGCAGGGTTTCGCCCGCGGCGGCCGTGGAGGCCATGTCGGAAGACCAGTCGGGCAGGCAGCTCGGAGGTCACCCCCCCGCGGGCCGACCCTCTGCGTTGTTTGCGGCTGGCATCGGTGGGCCTCTCCGCCGCGGGGCGGCGCTGTGGTGCTCGGGCAGTCGCTGGTGCCCACCGGCACTGGGGGTTGTGTGCCCGAGAGCCTCGCTTTGAGTGTTGCAGCCTGGTACAGCCCGCGTCTAACGCATCGTCGCATCCACTTCGGGCCATTCGACGCAGGCGCCGGACTCGATGCGAGGGGTGCCGCTGGCCCCTTCAACTCAACGGTGGAGTTCGAGGGCTGCGCGCTGAGTGGTTCAGCCTTCCGCATCTTTTGCTTCTTGTTTTCCACCGACGGCAGCCCGGTTTCTGGGTTCGTGCTACTTAGCCAACCAGGTCGGCTGCTTGGACTTGGCGCCGCACGGGCGACTCACTCCGTTGCACTCGCATTCGCGGCCGCTTGTGCTCTTTGGTATACTGGGCGGCGCCTAGGTGCGTCTGCTGGTGAATGCTGGGCATTTTGTTCAGTGCATGTGTAACTGCACGCTTGTTGTGCAGGTGCGATCCGGCCTGCCAGCGTGGCGGTTGGGGTCGCCAATTCGCTCTGCGCCGCCCGCCCCGGACATTGCCTCTCGCCGCCAGACCGTTGTCGCGCGGCCGCAGACAAAAAAACGTATCCCTACTAGCAGGCAGGCGGGGGGGATGCTGTGGCCCTCTTCCTGCCCTGGGGCAGGGGGTGGGCCACAGCCTCCCCCCCGACTGCCTGGCGGTGAGCGCGACCTTGCCTGGTCACATCTCTGTCAAGTACAGACTCATGCGGCGATCAGCTGCGACCCTGGAGGACCAGCCACCCCCATCTCCGGCGAGGTATCAGTCTCCGCGGGGACAGGCCTGCATCCGGCACAGCCTGAGGCCAACGTTGGGCCCGCCCTCCCTCGGCTTCTACATCCCTTGATTGCCCACCCGCCATTTCTTCGACTCGAGCGGCGATCAGCTGCGAACCTGGAGGACCCAGCAGAACACTTCCCCTG